CTCCCACGTCGCGCTGCCCTTCTCTTGCCAGATGCTGGAGGCTGGCGGAGGCGTCAGCTGGCAGGCTGGGCTTCCCCGAGGTCTCCCGTCTGCCTCAGCTCCTCCTGCCAGGGCCAGATGTACCTTTGGGCTGCTTCAGTGATGCCCACTTGGGCTCTGCTGTCCCTGTCCCTGTCCCAGCGGGGCTCCCTCGCGCTGCGGGGCTCCGGCGTGCCGCTGACCCGTGCTCCCTTGTCTCCCTGGCAGGGTGGACGGTGACACCAAGCACTGCGTGATCTACAAAACGGCGACCGGCTACGGGTTCGCTGAACCCTACAACCTCTACGCCTCCCTCAAGGACCTGGTCTTGCACTACAAGCACACGTCCCTGGTGCAGCACAACGACTCCCTGAATGTCACGCTGGCTCACCCGGTCCTTTCCCAGCCGCCGGCCAGATGAGCAGCCCTTGCACAACACAACAGCTGCCTTCAGCTTCTCCCCAGGGCGCTGCTTTCTGGCTCTGGACTCTTGCACCCTGTATAGTTGAGTCTCTGTGCTCCTGCCCCTCCAGAGCCTCCGAGATGTCCGTGACCGTTCCTGATGTCCCTTTTGGTCAGTACCCGTGTTGACTGGTGGGACGAAAAGGCTGGACTGTTGATTCCCAGTGGGCTCCAGCATCTAGGAAGTGGGATGCAGTCGTGATTGAATTGTTGGGGGGCGAGCTCAGCCCCCTCCCCTTCCCCAATCAGCAGGTCAGACCCCTTCTTGCTGGCAGGTCGCCCCGCTACACATCACTGCAGAGCTAGGTCCCCGATTCCTCGGTGCGCTACGGCGTCAGTCACCGCAAGCGCCGCTGTGGCTGAGGGGCTCCGTGCCAGGGTGCCGAAGGAGGCAGAGGAGGAGGAGGCTCTGCTGAGCGTGCGCATCCTCCACTCTCACTTCCCTCGGTGATCTGGCAGGCCGCGGCGGTGTCTGGTACGAGGGGTGCTGCTTTTCCGCGCAGAGACTCGTTTAGAAAAGAGAAACCCCGTCCTCTGCTGGGCTTCTCGGCGAGGTCTCTGCTCCGTGCCGTGCCCCACCTCCCCGTCTTGTTCCCGGGTGTCATAACCACCTCTTGAGTGTTGCTTGGGAGGGAGGATCCGGTTAGCAACGAATCTCTCGCCTTAGTTGTGCCAACTAAGCTGTGAAATCCGTGTTGGTACCCGTTTTTTTTTTTCCTGGCAGAATCTGTGGGATGCACAGCTTGTTTTTTTCCAGCTGTCTTCGGTGAATCTGCAAACGTGACCTGTTGAAGCTAACTGTAGCTCTGTAAATACGATTCTTTTCCTAATCAGCTGCTTACCCAGTACCGGTGTTCGCTGAACTCCCACTATGATACACGAGCGCGTGGGCAGCAGCCGGCCATGCTGTCCCAGACCCGGATCCTGCCAGCTGAAGCAGGAGGGGGCTGGAGTCCGACGCACACTGCGAGCCCTTACACGAAATGAAGGACCTCTCTGCTGCAGGAGGAGGGTATCTCCGCAGGGCCAAGGGCCTCAGCGCATAGAAATGTATCTGCATGATGTTATATGCCAAGCACTTATAATCATGAGTACTGTATGGGGGCTGCCGTAGTGCTGCCCGGCGTTGGCTGGCACGGGCAGGGATTTGTCCGAGCTCAGAGGGCTCGAGGTGGCCCTGGAAGAGCTTTAAAAGCTGGACCCCGGGCTGGGAGTTGAGGCCATGGTGGCGTTTGCTTTACTGGGTTATCCCGTCTGCCTGGCTTGAAAAAAGCATTAATTGTTCTCCTGATTTGCCGAAGAGGCTCCTTCCCTTCGGGAGGCCGCGTCCTCGGGACGGGCTGGCCGATGCCGTAGGCTTTGCCGCTTCTGCTTTGCGGCGCGACGCGGGCTGACGCGGATCT